TTAAAGTTAAGGCACGCAAATTGTTGTCTCTTTGCTTATTTGCCAACGCTTTAATTGCCTACATACAAGTATATATATTTTAATTGCAGCTAAGCGCGATTTATCAAATGCAGCGTGTAATGACAAAAAACAGAAATGTAAATTGTCGGGCTTGTAAAAAGAACGTGCACACAACTACTATAGTATATAGAGTCGATGTGTCAGATAAGCATAAAAATTGCTCAGTATAACTAATTTGACAAACAATAAAGGCAATGCGACGCACAAATAACATTAACAATAACAATGCGTCGGCATTTATTTATATATTTTTCTTTTTCAAAGGCAGCCACTGAAACTGCAGCCAATTGAACGAATGAAACCCATAAATTATTACAAAATCTCTTAACCTCCAGCAGTCAGTCGTCCGTCGGTCGGTCGGCTTGCTTGCTTGCAATTGCCAGAGAGGTGTAGAGGGCTTGCATTTTTCATTTGTTCATAATTTTTATGCGTAATTTTCAACAATTAAAAAAGGGCCCTAAATGAAATTGCTGCTGAAGAGCGCGTTGCTCTGTGCTGGTTGTGGGAAAGAGGGGGGACGGAGCAGGTGGCGAGTGCGAGCAGCGCATTGCACAACAGACAAGGCAGCCAACAAACGGGCAGTAGGACGGTCCCATGGACAGACAGACAAACTTTGCGACATTTTGGTCGGCGTTTAAGTTTAAATTAAACGACGACGACGGGTTAAACGTTGCCATTTGGGATGGGACTGGCCAATCGGCCGATCAATAAACGAACACACGCATTATACATAAATATTGACAGGTGGGTTAGTTCGCAGCACCAGCACCAGCAGCAGCGCCAGCGACAGCGACAGCAGCGTTCAACACACCCTAAGTGGGTTAATTTGTCTCTCTCTCATGCCCGCTCTTTTGTCTGTCTCTCCGATATTCATACACCGAGCCACCGAGCCAAGCGCTTGCGCAGTCGGCTTCGACGACTTCTTCAAGGTCGTCTTTGCTGCCGCCGCGGCTATTGTAAAAGAAAGCGCTATGCGCTGGCCTTGAACACGAAAATGTGTTAAACAACAACAACAACAACAAAGACAACAACAACAACAAATACAACATGCGAGCAGTAGAAGCTGAGTAGGAAAGATGCTGCGCATGCGCATCAGAAATGAATGCAGAAAACGCTGCCTCTGTCTTTGCCACATTAACTAAAAGTTTAAGTGGCTGCTCTCTTTTTGTAGTTTTATTTTAATGTATGCTTGTTTTGTTTTGCATAGAAATTAATGCACACACACACACGCACGCACACACAAAGAAACAAAGCGTGCGCAATAGTTGCGCTGCTCATAAACTTTGACTGCTTGAGAAACACACGAGCTGACTCTTAGCTGGCAAGCAAAATAAGTTTCGGACCAATTTATTTTGCGAAACTTGTGAAACGTTTCCAGCGCAGCATCAGTGTGAGGGAAGAAAAAACAGCAACAGGTTGTGAAAAAGGTTTAAAATAATATTTATCTGCAAATAGGTCAGCTGGCAAGCAAATAAAACACTGACGATAAGGTGGAAGCCACAATATGTACAAAGAAATTCCACGGAAAGAGTTCGTCACTTGAACGTTTCTGAAAACTCGCATACTTGCCAGTAATGTGGAGAAACTAGCTAAGATGTTATTTCTAAATATATACTTGTACATATGTACTTATGTTAAAATGATTATAAAAATCTATTTAAAATATATAGATGTTACTAAGTAGTAGTGCAGTGTTGAGCACTTGTGGATTCATACATATTTACATGTATTAATGTTTATATGAATAAACAGTAATGAACATAATTCGAACTGGTCAACATCATTTACCTTTCGAGCAAATAAAAGTGTGTAATAAACACTTTTCCACATTTTTAAAATTTGACGTTAATACTTATAAAATATTTAACATTTAGTTTAAAGAACCTTAGCTTAAATGTGCTTTAAATAAGTTTACTCTGTACTAATTAGTTTTTATTATACCCTGTACCCGTAGGGTAAAAAGGGTATATTAGGTTTGTGCAATGTATGTAACATGCAGAAGGAAGCATCTCCGACCCCATAAAGTATATATATTCTGAATCGGCATTACGAGAGAAATCGATGTAGACATGTCCGTCCGTCCGTCTGTCCGTCTGGATGAACGCAAGGATCTCAAAAACTATAAAAGCTGGAATAACCAAAGTTGGCATCCAGATTCTCCTAGGTCCGAGAAAGGATGAGTTTATTTTATGTTTTGGAAGATGTGCAATTTGCTCATTCAGTTGGCCAACCATATGCAGCGGACTCGCAAAGTGGAGCGGACAGAGAGCCGGCAACAGTGATGTTCAGCGAGGCTGAAACAGAGCCGGACACACTGAACTGGTGTGTTTATGAATGGTGTTGCTGGATATAGGCCCCATTTTAAAGCTACAGTCGCTGTACCGCTGCCGCGCCATCTCGTGTGTTTGGGACACTCACTCAATAATCTACTTTCTTAGTATTCTATAGAAGAAACGCTTTTCACAATGAACGTAAATACCAGCTATTTCTCTATAAATAGCCACATTATTGGCAGAGAACATCCATCAAATTTGTTTTCGGTTTAATGAACTCTATCCCATTAGCACTCTGTAGACTTAACTTTGTGCTCCATTAAACTTTTAGTTGCGCTGGGCCAAGTAAAATGATAATTTATTTAATAAAGGCAAAGTTCTGTAAACGTAACTCGTGTGTTCAGCCATTTCCTCAAATCTTTGAGCCCAGTGCCAAAGATTAAGCAATTGTATGAGAGCGAGAACTCAAAATATTTTGATATTACATCATCGAATGCGTGTGCCAGCCATTGAGCCTAATTGAAACGAAGCTGAATCGCTTATACATTTGCATGCCGGTAAGTATGATAATTAGATGGAATATAATTATGAAGTGGCCCGCCACAGCTGGGGCATCGCTTTAGTTGGCAATGTAGAATTATACGACAAATTGTAAGCAGAATAAACTTAGAGACGAAAATGATTTGCATGATAATAGAAATAGTATTTGAAATAAATTGTGAGTAGCGATCACGGGTTGGCGTTACTTTGATTGTTTGCAACACAAGGCGGGTATTAATAAAGAAATGTCGATATATCATCAGCCACGAATAAGCAATTTGTTGCTCATCAAATATTAACTTTAGACAGATTGAAGTGTTGAGGGAAATTACGCCCATGAGTTGCTACTTTCGTAAAAATCTTTAGCCATTGCTAGATAATTAAATGACACTTTTGAATGTGTGCTCTGGGCTCCATTATTAAGCTATTTAAGTTAATTGAGTTATTAGCACATAACATCATATATAGTACTTATTTATACGAATATAATTTGATTCGATATCCCTGTCATTATATAGTCTTTTAGAAATCCCAAAACGCTGCTTAACCGCATGTAATGGGCTTTTATCTAGATGACACTCACCATGGAATAATGATTGTTAGTTGTCGCGCATGTACTTGTTAGATTTATAATTCACATACCTGCAAAGAATAATAAAAAAAAGTTGCTTTTAATTGTATGGTAATAATATGCGATTCGAAAATACAAAGTATTAAACAAGATTTCCAACTACCTTAATAAAGTGTTAACGATTGTTAAAATCGTTTAAAATGATAAATGAAAGTATAGATACATTAAACAATAAACGATTGTCTTCATAAGAAAAACACGATCGTTTAAGCTTTATAAAACAATAATGAAGAGTTTAATTGTTTTATAACACAATTTTTTGGATCTAATTTCGATATTAGCTTTAGACCTTAGCGATATATGCTGTCGGACAGCCAAGCGGCACTTGATCCTAATAAACACACATTTAGGGTAACTGCAACGAAGACGAGCTGGCAAGGACGAAATCGGTATGCCGCTGTACTCCGCTTCTGACGCGCAACCACGAATACAGAAGGACACTGGGAGATCTGTGTGTTCGAGCAAGGAGTACCTAGTTAGCTCTGAAGATTTAGGTCACGACAATGGCCCTCTTCGGGGTTAAAGGTGGGGGCGAGCACCATTGCTGCAGTCATCTCGACAACGTAAAATATCGGACCTAATTTTATAATCGAAAATATCTAAAGATCCAGGAATTTATAACTAGTTAAGTTCTAAGAAAGTATTTAGGTATCGTAAAAGTATTTCTTTTTTTATATAGTGTCTTTAGGGATTAGTTGCTTTAACTATTAAACAACAACTGATATATTCTTGAGAAATTCGAGTTTTATTCAGACTACTTGTATAAGATGTGATTGAATTGCCTCTTAAGATATTTTACATGTCATGACTTACTAAAATCCGTTGACGTCTAAATTGACATCAGACGCAATCGTTAGAAATTGATTTGAAAATCGTAGCTCATTATATTATTCATATGCACTGCAAATCAAAAAGCACATACCATATTCTCTGAATAGTGAAACGAAGGTTTCTCTATGTACAAATTGTTGCTTAATTTCATTCAAATAAATACGCCCTTAAACCAGATAAATTGAAAGGTTTCGTTTTCTAAGTACTGCCAAAGAACCATTTGCAATGCTGGCCGCTTTGGAGAAAGAGCTGAGTTGACTTTTCAAGCTCCCTACGAACGACGAGTAAGTACTGAACCCACAACCACTACGTAATTAAACTGAATGGCAAAATGAAAAAAAGGCAAAGCTGCTGAGACGGCCAAATTCAACAATAGCAACAAAGTACAAGTATGTTTATCTACTTAAGCAAAAAATTGCTGTGTTGTGCGGCATTAATAATTTTATTTTTTCATATGTGCGATCTATCTTTTTGCAATAAAAAAAAGAAAGAAAAAAAACTTGGCATTTCAATTTTATAATTAAGTGTATATTTTTTCCAACATGAAGCCCGCGCGTTCAAAAAGCGCCACAAAAAGCTGCGCTGCTTAAGTTGGCAAAGCTGAGCTTGCGAGCGCCAGAGTCGCGACTTTGTGCGCTCAGTCTGTAAACGGAGCTTGGTCGCGACACTTGGAGTAAGCGGAAGCGTCAAACGGAGAAACCGAGAAACGGCAACGGTGCGCGAAGCCGCCAATTTTAGGTGATAGTCGATAGTCGGTGGAAAATCGTTGGCTTCAAGAAAATTGCAACACCAGCGGGTGCATAGAAGGAGTTTATAAAATAATAGAGCGGCTCTTAAAGGGTAGGGTGTGAATACAAATAAATAAATAATTAAAATAACATTATAAATGATTGAAAAATTCTTCAATACACAACTTTTGATAAAAATATTTGAATATGTGAATATAAACTAAGTATTTCCGCATCTCAGCTGTACGCATTTTAAACAATTTTTGATTTCGTGCGCAGTCAAACATTTTCTTTGGCGAAAGACTTAGGACACAAACTGGCGCGTTTCGAGCGTCGCGCGTGCTCAAGCGGTATGAAACAGAAATAAGTATGAATGTGTATGTTGTGTGTGAATTGAAGAAAATCAGACGAAATAACATGAAATGAAGAAAGCAAGCAATAAAAAAAGAAGTTTTCAATGTTTCGCAATGTGCTTTTCTGCGTTTTTTGATATTTTTGTGGCACGCGGAGGCCAAAACTAAAAGCGTGGCTAAATGAAAATGTGTTAATTTTCCACCTTACACGAAAAATAGTGCAATAAAACATAATGCCAAGTAAACATAAATGGCAACAAGGCGAAGACCTACAAAGAAAGCAACTTACTCGGCCGAGGCTACACATCGAGGGTCGCGCTTCGTTGCTACTGTTTTCTGCTTTTCTGTTTGTTTTTCCCCCCAAAAAATACGCATATATACGTATGCACATAGTTATAGTAAATGGCATATGGGTCGGGTCTGGCGAGTCTGAGTCTGAGCAGCATTGAGCAATGCAAAATATTGCAACAGCCAATGACGGCCATATATTTTGATGATGTCGGTTGGTTTGGTTCGGCTTGCAGCGTGCCGCGCGAATATGAGAGGAAGGTGTCAGTCAGCTAAGTGAGATAAAGCTGACTGACTTGGAAGCTATATATTTTAACCCACAGGGGTGTTCGTTTTTAAAGAACACAATGAAATGTGCTTTTCTTTCTTATCACACTCTTCTCTCTGCCATTTCTAATACCACATAATCCCAGCCAAATCGCGCAACAATTTGCACAGACTATGTATCATTAAGTGGATACTGTGAAGCATAATAACAATTGTTACATGTTTATAATGCCGCACTGCGAAATGACACAGAAAAACAACATAATAAAACTAACACAGAAAAACGCAAATTAAAAAATAATGGACAACTGAAGGAAATATTGCGAAGCAAAATTAAAACAAAATGCATAATAAAACGAAGAAATTCAAATGAAAGAAAGAAAATTTCATGCATAGTAAGGGATTGGACGAACCAACTTCTTAAAATCATTTACATTCAATGAGTCTTCAATTAGATCTCCTACTTATTTTGATTCTTGTGATTAGCTATTCGTCTACAAAACCAATCTAGAAATTCAGTAGCTTGGTAGATCATTAATGCCTTGTTATAGCAGGATTGTTCATTAGATCAAAAATAAATAAATTTGGGTTAGCATGCTTATAAATTCTGAAATACGAGTATACCTAATGATAAGTGGGTTTCTTTGTCAATTGGACGATTGCGAGTATCAACAAAATCCTAAGAATTACAAGTTATTAAAGTTTCTAGTGAGGATGTGTTGAAAGTTCTCTTAGATAGAAGTACATTTTTGTAGTCGTAAAATTACAATATTCTAGGGGTAATTTAATGGGGTTTCGGGCATCTGCTGCGATCGGATCTATGGAATCTTACAGAATAATGGAGTAGTCCAGTTTATGGTAATAACTAATGGAACCAAAGACGTTAGTAAAAGACATTTTCCTGAATGTGCTAATGTATAAGAAAAATGAACAGAAGCTGTTAGTTAGCATTGAAAAATAAACTCCTAGAATTGATTAAAATTGAACAACTTAAGCACTTTGCAGTTTGGCTTGGTTTTATGAACTTTAGTTATAGGTATTGGATCTTTAGAGAATAGTTTAGTGGCTATCTTGGTATGATATTGGGTAACCAAATGGTTAAGTTGGTGTTTATTTTGTCTGAAGTGAAATTCGAAAGTAAAAACTTAATTGTTGTGATTATAATAAGATTTATCATGCTTGATGGACTAAATAAGTAAATGGAACAACAGTATATGCTAGATAGCTATGCTAGATAGCTATGCTTTTTTGTGTACAAATTGGCAAATGATTACTAGAGCATTATACGTAATGCTGCAAGATTTTATGATCGTTAGATGGTCGTTAGATGGACAGAAAAGTGTGTGCTGAAACGAAAAACAATGAAATATGTACTCAACGTAACTCGGTTTAAAAAACTTATTCATGCCATTTAATTCCGAAAGGTAAATGATATAAGCAATACACAGACAGCAACTGCAGACCAAACGGACAGCTGTTGGTAGCTTTAGCTGCTGCTGTTGCTGCTGCATCGGTCGAAATGATTGTTGTTGGGTTATATAAGAAGTGGCCATGCCACAAAATATAAAGACAGCGGACGAGAGAGAGAGAAAAAGTACCAACAGCAGCAGCCACCAAATCGCACTGTCAGTAGCAGACGCCATATGAGAAGGAAGCAGTCAGCGGCTCGGACTCGCCAAATAGTGATCAGCAGAGGCGAGGCGGCGATGATCAGTAAATAGAGTCGCTTGGCCGCTCGATCGTTGGTGCTGCACGTTGCACGAACTAAATACCCACTAACACTGCGAACCAATCGATGGCACAGCATTTTCACTGTTTTTTGTTGTTGCTGTTGTTTCTGTTGTTGTTGTTGGGGGCCTGTTAAATAAGCCGTTAAACTGCATCAAGGTAACATCGGTGGTGGGGCGGACCGGGGCGTTGCGGCAATTATGCATGTTTCATAACGGTACAGCTTGTTGTTCTTGCCGAGGCATGAAACAAAACACAAGTGGAGTGCTACAATTTTCTATACACTATTCACGAAAGTCCCACAGCTTTTTCAGTTAGCCTGTGAGTCGTCGAAATTTTAAGTGCATGTTTAATTTCCACGAAAATGAAAAAATTAAAATTAATGTTTACGAAATTTTTGCAAATTTAAAAAATTCATATTAATATTTTAAATTAAATTCAATTAAAAAATACAAAAAATAAATTACGCTATGGAAAATTGCGAACCGATATCCTAGAATCAATATCCTGAGGAATCAAGCAATTAATAAAAAGCTGTGGTTAAAATAATAATTATTAATTTTTATTATCTACCAGTTCTCTCAAGCTATCGATCAAATAATTAATTTAATTAAATAAAATAAAAAATATTTTTTACTCCAATTTAGAAAATGTCACAAAGCTAACCAAACGATGAAATCTCATTTTCTTAATATTTAAAAATATTGTCAAAATAAAAGACATGTAATTTTTAGTGAATGACTAATATTTCTGCGGCTTTGGAGAATATTACAAATGGGATAAAAGTTGAATTTCAACAGTTTTCCATATTTTTAAATAATTTATTCCAGATAACTTGAATAATAATTATACCAAGGCACATAATGTAGAAAAATTTATGGTTTTATTGGACATATGACACGAACCTTTGCTTAATTTAAGCATGTTTACAATTAAGTTCTGCTCAAATAGATGTTTTGCTAGAAAGAAATTGTCCAATCATTAACTTTTTCTGTGCCTTCAAATTCGCAAATTTTTCATTAATTTGTATTTTGAATTATTTAACATAACTTGAATAAGAATTAATCTAAGCTGTTTTGCTGGAAACCAATGGCTACACAACCAGTTTCGGTAGACATTTATCTTTAGCCTGTCTTCCTAAATTCTTAAAGATAAATTATAGGTAAAAGCCTGAAAGAAAAACAATATTTGTAAAAATAAAAAAATCAATTAAATAAAGAAATCAATTAAATAACCACAGAACAAATTTCGATGAATTATCTTGTTTCTCAAAGTTTTACTTGAAAGAAAATTTGTTGAAAAATTGAAATTAAACATACAGCAGAGTAAATATTTTAAAAGGCCTCAGTCCCTGAGATGCACTTGAAAAGTGTATGATAATCGTGTTCGCCCAAGTATAGCTATACACATTAGAGTATATATAGAGTATTGGGAGTGGTCTCAGGGTCTGCTGTTAGTCAGCACCAGCATTGCAAAATATAAATACATTTGCAAAATACAAAATCGCAGCATAGGAAAAACAACAACCACACACACACAAGTATGCAGCAGCAAGTGTGTAAGTGTGTACACATGTATTGATAACCTATAGCGCATATAACATTTTTGGAACAACGTCGTTACGACGACGCCGGCAGCGACGACGGCATCGCTGCGCCGGCGAACCAGTTGGCAACCTTGGCGCCTCGTGTTGTTTTTGGCGTTGCGCTTTGTTTTTTTTTTTTTAGGTATTTTGGCTGTTCGGGTTTTTTTTTTTTAATTTTCATTCGTACATATATTACTTAAAATGTTATTTTGTTTTTGACGCACTTGCATGCCGCTTTTTGTAATGACGTTCGGGCCATGGCAACAACATTTTGTTTAATGGCAGCTATTTCTTTTTTTATTATAATTTTGGGGATCGTAGCATATAGTATGTATGTATATCTCCAGCTTGCCAAGTGCAAGTTGTTGTGCAAAATGTACACACAACTTTTTTTCGACTTTGCAAAAAACTGAAACAAAACTCAAGTCAAAATTGTTGTCCTTTGCGTCATCTGCCACAATGTTAAGCAAACAACAATCGTATACGAGTGTGTTCAACAACTACAACAACAACAACAACAAGCTAACAAGCTGGAGCTACAACAATAAAGCCGATTTATGGCCACGATATTGTTTTGTTACTAACCTTACTCAATTTTTTTCTTCTTTTGGACTAACCTGGCCTGTTGTGTGTGTTTTTTGTTGTTGTGTGCTTGGCTCTTTGGGTTTACTTTCGAACATTTTATGGGCATTTGTGTTTGTTGCTATACATTGTGGCAACGCAGCATTTGCTTGTGTTTTTGGGAGCTGCACAGATATGAACTGATCTGCAAATTGTTATGCACAAATAAGTAGTTCATGATATTGCAGCATGCGTCAAACATGAAGTTGGAATCACGTGAACAATAAAAGCATAAATCTCATGAAAAGGTCATCATTTGTTAACTTCATTTTTAAGCTCACATGATTATCAGTTATTTGAAAATAAAAGAACTGCATTTTTGTAAAGCGTTGTGAAAATTTTGGAAATTTATGACAAATGTCAAATAGCGAAAATAGTCAAACAGTAAGAATATGGTTTTCATATGTAGCATAATTTGAAGTTCTTTTGCATGCAAATTTCTCCAGAATTTGTTAATACAAGGAGCTTAAGGCGGTGCACCGACTCTAAAATACTCTGAACCTGCGTATAGAATATTTATATAAATTTAAAATAAATAACAAAATTGAAAGAGACCATTGATAGATTATACCTCCTTCGGGTTTCGAAATCACGTATGGGGGTATGACTGCACATTTTCATCGGGATTGTGGCACACATTCTACTTTGTAACATTTTTTATTTTGAACAAACCTAATATTTAAATTGATCAAAACATTTGCTTAAGGATAAAAATACTTCAATTTTTCAACGTTGTATAAATTCAACGAATTAATACAAATTTAAGATATTTTCCATATTAAGAAGTGTTCAAAATGTACAACTTTTAAAATAAAAGTAAATTTTTGGGACAATTATTTAAAAAAAAAAAAAATTTAAAAAGTCTTTTTTTTAAATAGCATTTGTTTTATATTTTTATTTCAGAAATATTCTTAACAATAACATATTTATTGTTTCTACCAAATATCAAATATTTTATCTTGAGATTTTTTTTGGAAGGGAATTCCACATTGCAAATAAGCCTAAAAAGGAATCACTGTGACGAATAATTTACGAATAATAAAATACTTATTAAATTGACTCGTTTGCTGTTTTTAATAGCTCCAACATTTTATACACTCGTAGATTTCCAGAAAAAGAAAAAAGGTCGATCAAAATCGACATTATATTAACATAAATTAAGGCCAATTAATTGAATAAACTTGGTTTTTTAAATATGAACCAATTATAATTAAGATATTTAACAATTGTTTGTACATTGTTATGATATTTTCAATTGGAGGCACCACAAGCTAATGTTTTGAAATTGTGTATAACACTTATGTATTCTGGACATCATCGGTTCTATTTTTTAGCAACAACTTTTCCGTTGCTTCTTCTCTAATATACAGTAGACACAATGCCTACTTAAAAATTCCAGCTCTGTTCCCAGCAGAGCAGCAGCTACCTGTTCACTGCATTAAGTATTCTAACAAAAAAGTTGTATTTATCATCGTGCATGACCAAAGTTGATTTTACTTTTCGTTGCGGTTAATTTTCCATTTCTCGCATTAATAAAAGTCACATGTCACATGACTCGATGACACCTTTCTACTAAATGTTTTTTTCTCCGCTCACACACACTCCACTTCCACTGGCTGTTTATTTATTCTAAATGCATTTTCTTGACGTTGAAATATTTGAATTTGACTTTATTCTCCACAACACGTCGCCTTATTTCACGCTTTTTCATGTGCCGCCCTCGCCCGCCATTTTATCGCAAGTTCTTGGCTTTGTTGTCTTTGTCGCTGTATGCACAATTCTCGGCGCTTTTGTAATTTACATGTCTGAAGCGAAATTCAGCTGAAAGGTTGTTTTTGTTGACGCCTATGTATGCATCTGTGCCGTCAATATTTGTTAATTTATTATACTTAATATTTTCGTTAAAGTGCAACAGATTTATTTAACCTATAGTGGGGCCGCAATATTGGTGGAGCTTGAAGGTTTCTCAACAACTCGTCTATTTGTTTATGGAGATCAGAAAAATATTTGTGCAGGCAAGAAACTGAGCTTTGGCATTGATATTTCTAGGGAACAAATAATAATCAGTTGTGGGCTCAAGAAACGTTAAGTTGCATTTTTATGACGGCAGCGGTAAATGCCATTTCTTTTTTCAGGAATAGATTAAACGACTTGACCAAAATAAGTCGCGAACAGGTCTTTGGGGTTAATTCTTCTGAGAGATTGGGGTATAGTTGTATGTATAATCGACCTCCAAAAAGTAAACTGTCAATTGTCAATGTCCATGTTGGAAAACGCAACAAAGAGAGATCTACTTTGAATAATTGTTTGCGAATAGCGTATATTATGAAAGCCTTTGAAGCCTATCGACTCGTCTTGTCATCCTGATCAATAATATATATACTTTGTGGGGTCTGCCACGCCTGTGTGTTACATACATGCGCACAAAACTAGTATAGCCTTTCACCCTTTGGGTACAGGCTATAAAAATTTAAATAGCTTATTATGTGAGGGCCGATGTCCCGTCACAAGTTATTCGTAGTTCTGGGTGCATGTTGTAGGACGTTTGTGGTACATGAATGAAGTTGTTTATTATAAGTTGTTTAATATAATGAAGATGTTTATTCGAAAAAAGCAAAGCCCAGTATTTAAGTCTATCCATCGATTTTCCGATGTATTTCAAGACTGAGCCATGGCTATTAATAAGTTTGCATATTCGTTTTAAAAACTTCTTGAATTTGCTTTGACTAACGACACAAAAATTCTAGACAAATTGAAGTGCAGAACAGTAGCTCTACAATTCCTGGGTTATAGTATAACTCAAATTTAAGAAGTCATGTGACATTTTGGCAAACAGTCTTAATGACATGTTAAAGTGATAAATTTTTAATGAGAACCAAAGGTTAATGTTAGGTATATATAGTATGAACCCTAGAATAAGTTTAACGCGCAGTTTTTGCTTTTTCCCTTAGCTGTGGCAATTCGCTCGAAAATTGCTGAGTAAATTGCTTAATGCCTTCAAATAGTCGTACTACCGTACATGGACCAAATGGTTTTTTTTGTTTTTCAATTCGCCACACAATTCAGAGAGTGTAGTATTAATTTAAAGGGGTTAGCCAGCAAAACGAAATGCGTTTAGTCATGCCACGAGTGGAGCCAGATGAGATTGTAGACGTAGTGCAAGTACGAGTATGTGAGGTTGCTTTAAAGTCGTCAGACTTTTTTATATGCAACGGCCGGTGCCATTTGTAGGCATTTGGTGAGCGCAAAGTAGTTCATTGAACCGCACAGAATTTACTAGTTTATAGTTGTTGTAGTTGTGGTTAACTGGCTAGTGCACTGCATTTCACTTTCAGTGAATGCTCGATCCTTTTTGGACTGTCCAATTAGCAGTAACTTAGAATGCCAAGTCAGGCTGGAATCGCCAACAAATAAGCGAAGACGCCGCTTTGTGTGCCTTGGCACGTGCGGGCCATAAACTACAAAAAATATTGTGAATCAATAAAATACATAACCAAATGAAGATGGAGAATTGACGCAAGCAAATAATGGCAAATAATTGACAAGAACCCCTTGTCTATTTACAGAGAACACAGAGCACGTCGACAAGGTGGCTGAATAAGGTGTTGAGTGCGAGGCGAACCGAAGACGGGACAAGGGACAACTCAAGTGATTGATCATAAGTGTGTTCGAGACGTCAACATGGCCGCCGTTGAAGTGCGCAACGGTTATAAGTATTATGGCTCCAAGTCGAATCCCAAGATTGTGCTCAACCACCTCAACATGAATGTGATGCGTGGCTCTATGTGAGTTGCATGACAAATAGGCAAGCTAAGCTCTCTCTAATACTCTTTCTTTCTTTTCTCTCTCTTTGTATTTCTTTCTACCTTTAGCTATGGCCTGTTAGGGGCCTCGGGTTGCGGAAAGACCACCCTGCTCTCCTGCATTGTGGGTCAGCGTTGTTTAAATGGCGGCGAGGTCTCTGTGCTCGGGTTCAAGCCCGGACAGCCCGGCAGCGGCGTTCCAGGCTCACGTGTCGGCTTCATGCCGCAAGAGATTGCTTTGGTCGAAGAGATGACGGTGAAGGAGACAATTTTCTACTTTGGACGCATTTACGGTCTGACAGATGAGCGCATCCGAGAAAAGTTCAAACAGCTCAAAGACCTTTTGCAACTGCCCCCGGCACGTCAAATGATAAAGGAGTGTAGCGGAGGACAGCAACGACGCCTCTCTTTTGCAGCCGCCATGATACACGATCCAGAACTGTTGATCTTGGATGAGCCAACAGTGGGTCTGGATCCCATGTTGCGTGAGAAGTGAGTAGATGGACTCTCTAAGGAGGACCATTTGTAATTAGCAAAAGAGAAAATAGATATATTTAGGATATTTCGCCATTAGAGTCTGGACTTTTGCTGGACATGAGAAGAATACCCATAACCATTCCTTCAAGCTACATAGAAATACAATTCATGGATGGGATTACGACTCTAGTTGTTGATCTGTAGAATAGTTTCGTTTTCATTTCCCATTCCAATAGCATACATCTAAACCCTCTATGATAGATTTTGATCGACTGATTTTAGAATTGAGCTGGATATAAGGCATGCATATAGTTATTAAAAGCTACTTCAGTTCAAAGTTGACAGTATTGGGGTAGTTTTTCGGCAGAGGTTGAAAGTATTTAAGTCGGAGATTTTTACTATGCAATGTTTATTGATTTTCATTGAATTTCTATTTATTTGACAGAATCTGGGAGTTTCTGGTCGAGACCACTAGAAATAGCAAACTGGCTGTGATCATTACCACACATTATATCGAGGAAGCCAAGCAGGCCAATTGCGTAAGCCCCAAATAAGTTGCATTAAATTTGCGTTTAAGCCACAAATCTTCCACAGATTGGACTAATGCGGAATGGCGTGCTGTTAGCGGAAGATACCCCCACCAATATTATGATCAAATTCGGAACTCAATCCATTGAGGATGCTTTCCTCATACTTAGCCAACGGCAGGGCAATGAGGATGATCTGCAGGAGATGTTGAATAACAGCAACCAGCAAGCGCTGCCAACCTCCGCGTTGCCAGCTGAAGTGATAGACACACATGAGCCACAGGCGGCGCCTGAGAAGCCGCCTCTCCCCTATGAGGAGCCGCTCAATGAGAATCGCAAACGCATTTTCTTTACAACTAAGGGACGCATCAAGGCGCTCATGACCAAGAATTTTGTGCAATTGTTTAGACAGCCATCGTAAGTTGCTTTAATTGCGGGATTCGCTTTATTCAATCGAGCATGCCTTTAACTTTGTCCTTTGCTCTCTCAGTGGAATTATTTTCATGCTGCTGTTCCCCATAATACAACTTTCTTGCTTCTATTTGGCCATTGGAAAAACACCTACAAACTTGGAGCTGGGCGTCTATAGCGGAGAAGTGAGCAGCTATAGCGAATGCTTTGACGACAAACTGATAACCGTTTATCAAGCCAATGATAGCTGTCACTTCAACAAACTCTCTTGTCGATATATACGCGAACTAGGAGATGAAGTGGCCACCAGAAAGTATTACAGCAGTGAAGAAGATGCTCTGAAGGATGCGAAGCGGGCCGTGACCGTTGGATACATCCATTTCGCGCATAACTTTAGTTCCTCCATTTTCACGGTCATGGAGGATGGCATTCATGCCAGTGATGGAGCGGTGGATCATGCCGAGCTCAGTGTGCACATCGATATGACGGGTAAGTGGGAACGGGGTTAATTTGAGTTTGACTTGGATCAAATATTTCGGTGAACCAGTTCTCTTTTAATTCACTTACTATTAATGACCTAGTTCAGTGATATCCTGCTAGCAATGATATAATTTGGCTTCTGTGTAGTGAGTAAAAATGAACGATAAATGAAATGCTTGATGGCCCATTTTGTAGCTATCATATAAAGTTCTATTTTTCAAAATGTTTTCTAAACTATTGCGCATGGGAAAAGTATATAATCTATATAATTTGCACAATAGATCAACAAGTGGCGTACTTCATGCAGCGAAAGTTGCGCGATAAGTTCAGCAGCTTTATGCATAGTGTGGTCAAGGACTGCAATGTATCCTCGGCTGTTGTGGAACTGCCCGTTCAATTTCAGGAGCCCATCTATGGCAGTCCGGACATTGAGTTCCAGCAGTACTGTGCACCGGGCGTGGTGATGACGTGAGTAATCAGTGTTACTGAGCTAGAACCTATCTAGAGCTTCATTTGTATATCGAATTCCTTTGCCAGAATGGTCTTCTTTTTGGCCACACTCATGACGGCTGCTGTTTTTATTTCGGAACGCATGGATGGCATCTGGGATCGTACATTGTTGGCCGGCGTGTCGGCAACGGAAATGCTTTGGGCTCATCTATTGACGCAGTTGATTATCATGGCCCTGCAATCCTTTGAGGTTATCATGTACATTGGCATCGTTTTCGATACGTATAATAAGGGTGATACGACCACTTTGATCGGACTGCTAACGCTCACCGCTTTCTGTGGCATGTTGTTTGGTAAGTTCCAAGAAAATATTCCTCTAAAGAGGTTTGTCAATTGCGTGTTATTTGCATTTTTACAGGACTTTTCATATCCGTTTTCTGTAAATCACACACCGAGGCGAATTTTGTGGCAACTGGAGCTTTCTATCCCATGATTATACTTTGCGGTAGGTTGCCATCATAACTTGAACTCTAAGTGAAGTCTTTACATTTCATTCAATTTATGTTTTTAGGTCTACTCTGGCCCTTGGAGAGCATGCCACGTTTCCTGCAGGACTTGGTTATGGTGCTACCTTTTACCATACCATCTATATCAGCGCGAAATGTCATAGAAAAGGGTTGGGGTATAACCAACGATAAGGTCTACAATGGTTTCCTAGTGATGGCCGCGTGGACAATCATTTTCTTTGTGCTGTGTCTAATTGGTATCAGACGTAAGGCGTAGTTGGGGACCCTTCTAGTTTAGTAGCATTTTCATTTAGGCGATTTTATATATATATTGTTATAGTATCCATATAATTTAATATGAAGCATATCACTCGCATGTTCCAGACTCTCATATGCATACAAACATACACCCACACACACCCACACACACACACAAAACGCATAGGTATACAGTTGGCATTGGGTTATTAGCAAGTATGTAGGGTTGGTTGTACTAAAATGTTAGTGCACATTTCGAGCGGATTTGCCTTCAATTGAAGATTTATTATTTTAAAAATTCAATTATGTACTGAAAGCGTAACCCAGTGCTAGACTGTACTAAATCACTATAGGGTCTAAAGGGTATCTCAAATATATTTATAAAGGCATCATAAGAAATTCTCCCTCATGAAAGTGTCAAAAATAAACTCCGCATGCATGTTAAGTCTTCAATCAGTCGTATATAAAAACAAAAACAAATGTAATAAATTTAGAACTCCACAATTTCTTTATTTAACACATGTAAATAGCCCAAAAAATAAATCCCAATAATTACGTGATGAGCATTGTTATTACAAATGTTGTAAAAAGTTAAAAAAGCATTTTACTTTAATGTATATTCTTAAAAACGAAATTTCAAACAACCAAAAATACAAATTTAAATAAATATCATGAATGAAAATATTAATTTATATTACTTTTAATCCCCTTGCCGTAAAGATAGACTATTAAGTAGACTCTCTATGTAAGACATAATTAATACATAATTTACCTCCAATCAGATTGTTAGATGTGGATACGAAATCTCTCTCTCGAATCAGGTCGTTAGGGAGTACTAAGGTACGCAACGGTAACTCTTTCACCCTATTCACCCGAATTAGACATGTAACCTTTAACAGGAAAATTATTTTCCAGTTTTTCAAACGGCTCTCATTCTTAGAATCGAAACATAAATATCTGGCTTTTAAATTATCGATTCGTCTTTAAATTGAATAAACTTGTTTTAATTCCAAATATGAAATTCAGACAAGAGCAAAAATAAATGAAAGTCGCCCCCTTATCTGAGTGTGTGTGTGTGTGTGAGTGCCAAGGACAAGGCCACATCGCAAAGTTGCTGACACACTTCGGGCTCAAAGTGCTAGACAAAATGGTTGGCTGGCTGGCTGCCTGCGCCAGTCGGTCTCTGCCAACAGACATTTTTATTACAAAACTTTATCTTTGCCAAATACAACGACGACGATGAGAGAAATTCAAAAAGGAAGTAGTCAGCCAGCCAGCAGGCAGACAACTGTGGGTGTCTGCAGACTCAAGTGTCGTTGCGTCACGTATATATACATTTATATGTATATATAGTATATATACAAAGTTGCATAAAATGTGCAAAAAGTTTTGTGTGCTGGTGTGAGAAGTGTGAGCAACTTGTTGCTAAACTTATCGAGCTCTGGTGTGGGATGGGGAACTAAACCATTTATATATGGCTATATAATTCAGAAAAGAGAGCAATAAAAAGTACCCAAAAACTAAACGTTATTAACTATGGTTGTTCTTGGATTTACAAATATAATAAAGGCATTCAAATGGATTATTATTATTATTATTCCATATTTGAAATTATAAGTAAGCAGTAAAATGCGAAATGGGGTTTCATATTAAAATAATATGAAATCGATTTAAAAGAGTTTAAATGTGTTTTTACATAGATCTATGAAATTTTATGTTCTTTTTATACTTTGTATCTGAAAGGTCCAGTTTCATTGCATTTCTCTTCTGAATTAATGTATTTGAAAAATTTAGCGAAAGTAAAATCTTAGTATGTTATCCAAATTATTTCGAGCAGTTGTTATAATCACAAAAAGGTAATAATAAACGGATATAGCTAAGTTTGCGAAATAAAAGCCTAAGGGATTTCAAAGTAGACGTTTAAGAATATTGTACAAGTATATAAGGTGTGGGTACACTCTGCTATTTGATTTTCAAGAATATTATATATATAATTAATTAATATATTTCAATACCATTCAGGGGCTATGTTGGCGACAATTCAACAAATCCAGGTGAAAATAGGGAATAAATTGTTTCGGGTTGTCTATTTTATATTCAACTGCCAAAATGCTGGTAAGGAACGTTTCGAAGGTTTAAACTGCGAGATATGGCTTCAGGTTTTGGGATTAACCGGAGAGTCGGTGTTTTGGAAATTTTGACCTACATTGGGAAACATTGAAAAGTATACAATAAGTCACTTGAAATAATGTAAGAGCGAACTATCAATTTAAAATCTACCATATTGTTGCCAAGCAATAGAAATGTATGCATAAGAGGCATGTTGTTATTAAAACATTACCCTAGCTATTGATTTCTTTTAGCTTTAAGTAGTAGAATTTTGTTTTGTAATCTAATGAAAAAAAAGAATGGCACCTGTTAGCAATAATCACATTCGTTACGTATTCTTATGAAAAATTGATCGGACTTTACTACGAACTAAAACGGCTGTCTATGCGTATGTTTTATTTTTTAAATATATAAACGCTTTAATACTGCAACACTCTTCCATTGTTATGCAAATTTTTAGCACATAAGCCACACAGACGACTGCTTATAGTTTTTCATGGCCTACAAACTGCATTTAAATTCAATTATGCGTAATGGAAAAGCCAAAAAAATTATGTTCCATGAAACAGTTGAGAATGCTTCAGAATACAACTAAATAAAATCCAACAATGGCAACAGACACAGAATCACACACCCACCCAGAATTGCAGACATTGCGCATACGCCCTGCTGTTCGTCCCCAGGTCAAAGTTTATGCTTGCCAGCTGGCCAGACTGCAGGCAGACAACATCGCCTGAGTCTGATTTTTGCTTAAACTCATATATGCGTGTCAGGGTTTTGTGTAGTTCCATTTTGGAAGCCAGAAAAAGTTGTGCTTCAGTTTGGTGCAAATAATATCAGAAGTAGCCAGTAGGTCAAGTCGCCTGGGTGTATGCAACAAAAGTTTGAGTGGCAACTAAAAAATACAAATTTGCACAATTTTGTAAGCAAATGAAATGCCGGCCGCTTCACACACACACCCACACATTGACCTTCGAAAGCGTCGGGCAAAACACCCCGCTGTGCACCCAAAAGGGGTGCCCAAACACACCCACTACACACAAATACATTTAAAATCATTTAAACCTTTAGCTAAACATTTTTGTTACAACTTTTGGTTTGGTCCATTTCGTGCATATAAAATTGCAAGCAAGTTGTGTGTAGAGGGAGGCTGGATGGACAGCCTGTTTTGTGGGTGCCGCTGTCTGCCTTAATGTGACCTTCAGACAAGTTGGATAAACAAACACAAAAGCGCACATACACACACATATACTTGTGTGTATGTAGACATACATCGGGCAAGTCTAATATTTAAACGTAATTTTAATGAAGGTAAAAGTGCTTTGTTTACGTTTTTGTCTTTACTTTTCGGCTGCTCTTTTGTCTATATACACATATACATATATAGTATATGTGTCTTTTTAAAGCATTGCTAGTTCTATCGTCCTGCTGCCTTTTGTTTGCTCGCATCCTTTGCAGTAGCAACAGTTTAAAACCACTTTATTAAGGTTTATGGATTGGAATTTGGATAAGACAGCAATATATTTGGCTTAAATTCTAGGCAACATATGTTTAAGAAAATTTCAAGTTTTTGTGTCTTACCTTAAAGTGGAGTTTAAAAATAGTAGATTTAGCCGAACATAGCGTGTTACTTTAAGCAATTAAAAAAACGTTGGCCGATATTATGTTATATTGTTACTTAATAAGATTGAAGCAAGTGGTTTAGTATAATGAGAACTTAAGGACAATTACCAAAGAACCAGGCAGTTTCATATAAGGGAGACCATGGACAAAAATAAATAATGGCGTTTTAGGACTTCAAGGAACTGGGACTAATAGTTTATGAAACACTTATAATAGGCATTAAAACATTGTCTTTACAAAATTCTTAAAAAAAGGTTTTTATGAGGTAAATATTCATTTGATTTATAAATTAGCTTCAACACAAGTGAATAATCTGCCCTGAATAAGATTTGGTTTGATAGAACTTGTATCGACGATTCAACTCTCGTAAAAGGTTCTAATTATTTCAAAATATAATATTTGCAGTAAGTAAGATTTAAATTAAATCAATCTTCATTTCTTCATTAAATATACATTTACGTGTATACTCGTACATATATTCAAAAATATTGTCCGTCATAGTTCTATAATGTATATATCTACCCGTCAGAGTATCCATCTATTCATTTAACTAAGTATATATTTTTCCACTACAATATATTGGAAATCGATATCGGCTTAAATCAGTTCTGTCCACTCTTCGACCATTCGCTGATATTTTTTTAAAAGAAAATTTTAATATTGGTTGTTCTTATTAGTTCAGAATTCAGAATTGTTCTAAATTATATTTATCTATCCATCTAAATATCCATAGATTCAAGCATTGTCATATCTGGCCATTTATAGGTTTTTTTTCACTTACATATTTATCCACATCAGGTAAATATTTTTCTTCTGCATCAAATATAACCTTTTTTAAAGAATAATTCAATCTACAATAACGAACGACAAATATATTCATAACTGGCTTGTAATCTGTACGTACATTTCCAAGTAAATCAAAACTCAAAAACGAATGCTACCAACAATATACATGGTATATGATATCAACCATCAAAAGGGGTAGGAGAGGAGCAAGTGAGAAACTTTGGCAAAAATCAATTTGAAAGAAGCACAGCAAATACTCGTTTTAAAAATATAAAGAAAAACTACAAACATTCCAGCTGTACAAGGACGTAAGGAGCGCCATGCTGACGAATAGCGGGGGCGCTTGCATTTCATTGACCCTTTAAATGGCAAAAGGCTACACCAACACGAGCCGACACATACACACTTATGGGTATGAGCGTACTGGGCAAGTTTTTGGCCGCCGGTAACAAAACGGAGAACATTTCGATTTGAGATTTTATTCAATTTGGTTCATATAGAGGAGTATGTGTGTGTGTGTGAGTTGGGGACGTTTTGGGGGATGGGGGACGCAGCCATTTAGCTGCACGTCGTTCAACTGATGTCTGATGGACAGGTCGAGCAAAGCTTCTGTGCTCGGCTTCTGCTCTGCTTCCCAATATAATACAATCAACATTGGATTTGTTCGATGTGCGTTCAATGGTCGTTGCTCTGAGGCGGCAGATACCGCAGTGCCAGGACCAGTGCCAGCAGGACAATTTCAATGCAATGTGCGTAGGCTGTACACACACACACACACACGCACGGGCGCACACACACATATGCAGAGTCGCACACATGCAGCCTTGCATACGCAATGGCGTTTTATGTATAGGCTCAGCGTTTGCTCGCTCGCTCTCAGTCTCTCACTCACTCACTCGCCCGTTTGTTGTGCTCTCTTCGGCCATGTACTGTCCGCTTGCAATACATGGTAGCTGGATATAGACCGGGACTGGGACTGGGGTTCTACCCACAAATGCATTGCCAGGCGCTGCGCTGTCGTCATTTGGCCTTTTGCCTGGCACACATAACGAACGCGTTGCGTTTTCGGACATTTCGTGTG